CCAGCCCGGAGCGGGAGCGGAGCTCGGGCTCGGGTCCGGGTCTGGATCCCGCCGCCCGGCCAGCAGCGCTCCTCGGGCCGCCCCCGGGCCGCGGTGAGGGGCGAGCTCCGGGCCGGGACAAAGGGCCATGGCCGAGCGGGCCGCTGCCCAGGTAAGGGCCGGGGCCGGGGCCGGGGCCGGGAACCCCCTGGCTGAGCCCCGGGGCGGGCGGGGGGATGATTTTCATTGGTACCGGGGGGTGCCACGGACCGGACCGGCCCAGCAAGTATAACAACCTCCTGCCGGAGTGTGGGGCCGGGGCCTTCCCCACAGCAGCCCCATAGCCCGGCCCTGTTTCAGCTTTCACCGTCCTCGTCCCTGCCCCATCACTCTCCGTCAGGACCCACGTTACTATCGGCACTGGAGTTGTGGCAGGCCTTTTAATCGTCGTGTTTCACAGTTTTCCCTGTGGGGTTTTTTCATATCTCAAAGTCCCCCCTTGGGGTTCATTTGAAATGGTTTTTGTTCTAGGCCCTGATCCTCTGTAGGTGCCTGTGCGGAGCCCCACTAAAGTGGGCGTGCGTGGGTCTGAGACACAGAGTCCCATTGGATTCACGCGGCGCATCACACAGGGGCATGCAGATGCAGTATTGGGGCCTTGACCTATTATCGGTTGGGTGTTCGGTGCCAGGAGCGAGTCAGCCATTGGTTTCCGTTAAGCCTCTGTAGCTGCTTTTGGGAAATTAAATGTCAATTTAAAAGAAAAAAGCAGAAGTCCGTCAAAAGTGGTTGGAAATCGTAGAGGAAAAATAAACCACCAGACAAATCTGGATCATGGAACTGAGAAATGGGAAAGAACAAGACAATCATCTTGTCCATTCCCATACCCAGGCCTTTGTGCAGTCTTGGCTTAAGTCTCCCAAGCAACAGTGCTCCCACCCCTTTTCCTGGGAGACTATTCCACAGAGGAATATTGACTGTTGTTTTCTGTGAATGCGATAAAGCCACTCATACTAAGAGCGACATTTGTTGGTGTTATATAGAATTTTAAAGAGTTGTTTCCATGTGTACCAAAGATGGTTGCATAGCCCTCTGGGGGAGAGGTACAAACTAATGTCATGTCAATTGTATTTAGTACTGTGGTTACATTTTGATTCTCTGTCTAAACCACGCTTTTTGTTAATCGTATTAAACTCAACACGTGCTAGATTGTGAATCTCTTACTCACATGAGAGATCCTTCCACTGCATCCCATTGTCAGTGGGAGCAGTCACATGTGGAAGGAAGGGGTTTGTGTTTGTCAGGCAAAGAGAATTGAGTTGAAAATGCACCAGGGTTGTTTTTAAAAGTAAAACCACATCTCCAGCAAGGGGACAAGTACTAAGAGTTGCTGAGCACCTGCTGCTCCCCTTGAAGCTCATGATTTGGCCCCAAATTTATTCTTGGTTCCTTTGAAGTATAAGACAAGCAACATTTGCTGAACATTTGTGAGAATTTACAAGTGCCGTTTTGACCCCCAAAATAATTCCATGTTGTTCCACAAATTCAACAGAAACCTATTACATAAGAATGGCCGTAGTGGGTCAAGTATCAGAGGGGTAGCCGTGTTAGTCTGTATCCACGAAAACAACCAGGAGTCCGGTGGCACCTTAAAGACTAACAGATTTATTTGGGCATAAGCTTTTGTGGATAAAAAACCCCCTTCTTCAGATGCAACTGAAGAACCCAATCTGAAGAAGCGGGTTTTTTACCCACGAAAGCTTATGCCCAAATAAATCGGACTTCTCGTTGTCATAGTGGGTCAGACCAATGAACCAATCTAGCCCAGTAGCTTGTCTTCCAACAGTGGCACTGATGCCAGATGCTTCAGAGGGAAAGAACAGACCAGGTAATCTTCTAGTGATCCATCCGCTGTTGTCTAGTCCTAGGCTCTGGCAATCAGAGATGTAGGGACACTTAGAGCATGGGATTGTCTCCCTGACCATCTTCACTAATAGCCATTGATGGACCTATCTTCCATGAACTTATCGAATTCTTTTTTGAATCCAGTTCTACTTTTGGCCTTCACAACATTCCCTGGCAACGAGTTCCACTGGTTGACTGTGCGTTGTGTGAAGAAATACTTCCTTTTGTTTAGTATCAGAGGGGTAGCCATGTTAGTCTGGATCTGTAAAAAGCAACAGAGAGTCCTGTGGCACCTTTAAGACTAACAGATGTATTGGAGCATAAGCTTTCATGGGTGAATATCCACTGCGTCTGACGAAGTGGGTATTCACCCACGAAAGCTTATGCTCCAATACGTCTGTTAGTCTTAAAGGTGCCACAGGACTCTGTTGCTTCCTTTTGTTTGTTTTAAAGCTGCTGCCTGTTAATTCAATTGGATGGCGTCTGTTTTTTGTGTTACGTGAAGGGGTAAATAACACTTCCTTATGTACTTCACACCAGTCATGATTTTATAGACCTCTATCATATCCCCCCTTAGTTGTCTTGTTTCTAAACTGAACAGCCCCAGTCTTTTTAATCTCTCCTCATATGGAAGCTGTTCCAGACCCCTAGTCATTTTTGTTTCCCTTCGCTATACCTTTTCCTATTCTAATGTATCTTTTCTGAGATGGGGTAACCAGAACTGCACCCTGTATTCAAGATGTGGGTGTAATCGATGTATATAATGGCATTATGCTATTTTCTGTTTTATTATCTATCCCTTTCCTGATGGTTCCTAACATTCTGTTCGCTTTTTTGACTGACACTGCATGTTGAGCAGATGTTTTCGAGAACTATCCACAATGCTCCAAGATCTCTTTCTTGAGTGATTTCAGCTAATTTTAGACCCCATCATTTTGTATGTATAGCTGGGATTATGTTTTCCAATGTATGTTACTTTGCATTTATCAACCTTGAATTTCATTTGCCATTTTGTTGCCCAGTCACCCAGTTTTGTGAGGTCCTTTTGTAACTCTTCACAGTCAGTTTTGGACTTAACTCTCTTGAGTAATTTTGTATTATCTGCAAACTTTGCCACTCACTGTTTACCACTTTTTCCAGATCATTAATGAATATGTTGAACAGCACTGGTCCCAGTACAGATCCTTGGACCCTGCTATTTACATTTCTTCACTTTGAAAACTGACCATGTATTTCTACCCTTTGTTTCCTGTCTTTTAACCAGTTACTGATCCATGAGAGGACCTTCCCTCTAATCCCATGACTGCCTATTTTGCATAAGAGTTTTTGGTGAGGGACCTCGTCAAAGGCTTTTTGAAATTCCAAGTACACTATATCCAGTAGATCACCCTTGTCCACATGTCTGTTGACCCACTCAAAGAATTCTGATAGATTGGTGAGGCATGATTTTCTTTTACAAAAGCTGTTTTGACTCTTCCCCAACAATTCACACTATAGTTTCAACCAGTCTGCCTGGTACTGAAGTTAGGCTTACTGGTCTGTAATTGCCGGGATCGCCACTGGAGCCTTTTTTTAAAATTGGCGTCACATTAGCTATCCTCCAGTCATCTGGTACAGAAGATGATTTAAGCAATAGGTTACATATCACAGTTAATAATTCTGAAATTTCATATTTGATGTCCTTCAAAACTCTCAGATGAATACCATCTGGTCCTAAAAAGAGTGGTTCAGGTGTGGGAATCTCCCTCACATCCTCTGCAGTGAAGACTGATGCAAAGAATTCATTTAACCTCTCTGTAATGGCCTTGTTTTCCTTGAGTGCTCCTCTTCAATCGTCTAGTGTGGCCCCACTGATTGTTTAGCAGGCTTCCTGCTTCTGATGTACTTAAGCTCAATTTTTTTTTATGAGTGAACATTCCTTTCAAGGGAAAGAATTATGGGGCAATAGACACAGAATTAAACACATGCTCATAGCTAATACTGTGCTATGCCTATATACCGTACAAATGTTTGTGAAAAGCAGGCTGAATTTACTTTAGTTTTGTTTTCTTACCAAAAGAAATTGAGTAGAACAGTAATTTTCTAGTATGGCTATAGATTTCTCCCATTTGTTAGGACACCTATTAAAATTAATTTGGGGGTATGTGATGTTAGGGCATAGCCACACTACAAGGTTAGGTCAGCTTACGTCAACCTAACTATGTAACGTACATGCTATAGTGTTCCTCCCGCGACTGTAACTCACCTATTACTCCGACCTAGTAAATCCACCTGAACGAGAGGCATAAGGCTTAGGTCGGCCTAGTTTGGGTGACACAATGTCTGTATAGACACTGCCTTACTTGCATCGCCTGTTGGCTGTCAGGGTGGCTGACCGCTGGAGTTGTGAAATTGACAAGAATGGCAGTTTCACTGCTGGTAGAGTCCCTGTTTCGAAATTGAGCTTGGGGGTGGAGGGGAGGGGGAAGTGTTTTTTCCAGCTGTGAGCCCCAGAAGTGCTGACAGCTGGAGCCTCACTGCCCTGCGCTGAGAGACCGGGCTGTGGGCTCCGCACAGAGCTTCCAACTGGAGCCAGCTGTAACCCGGGCTCTCTGATCCCACTACACACAGAGCTCCCAGCTGGAGCCTGGCTGCCGCCTGGGTTCTCATCTCCCCACTCCGCATGGAGCCCCCTCTGCTGGGAGCTGAGAGCCTGGGTGGCATCTGGGCTCTCAGCCCCCCAGACTGCCCCTCTTAAGTCAGTGCAAGTTCTCCTAGTGAGGACATGCACCACTGACAGAAGGAGGGTAGCGTGGACGTGAAAAACGGCAGTGATTACTGTGGTTGCTGTAAGTCTACCTAAGGGCTTGTCTTCACTAAGGGGGTCAGTCGACCTAAGTTACGCTACTCCAGCTGCTATGTGAATAACGTAGCTGGAGTCGACTTACCCCGAAGTCTTCACTGCGCTGTGTCGACGGGAGACGTTCTCCGGTCAACTTCCCTTACTCTTCACAGAGAGCTGGAGTACCAGGGTCGACCGGAGAGCGCTCTGCCATCGATTTAGCAGGTCTTCACTAGGCCCGCTAAATCCATCTCTGAGCGTTGATCTCCCGGTAGTGGAGATAAGCCCGAACTTAGGTGGATTTAATTGTGTGGTGTAGACGTGGCCTGCCTGGAAAAGGAGCTAAGTTCCAGTGCTCAGTGTTGTCACTAACACCGAGCATCGTCCTGCAAACAGGAGGATAATTTCTATCCTGGTGCCAATCCAGAGTAACTCCATTGACTTCTGTGGAGTTACTCTACATTCATCCTGGTGTAACTGAGAGCAGAATTTATCTGCTAACTGCAGTGCTTGCTCTGCATTTTGTCTCCAGATTACTACAGTGGTTGAATAGCCCGAAAAGTGCTTTGAGGTCTATTCTCTGCGGAAATGTCAGAGTTTAATACCAGGGGTTTCTTTTTGCAATGTGAATACACGCACAAATAACTCTCCCTTTCACTGGTGTGACGTTAGGCCTGAGTTATGCGACAGCATCAGTGGTAACATTTTGTAGTTGCATGTTATTGACTCTTGCCAGAGAAAGAGTTGCTGGATATGTGCGTCAGGTGCGTTACAAACCAACGTAAACGGAATATCTTGAAATAGAAAGCACAAGTCACCAGCACAGGAAAAATACTGGGGTAGGAAAAGAAGCAATTACCAAGGCAAAGGAGGGGGGAAAAAGTGCCTGACGCTGCTTAAGAGCCATCTTGGAAGTGAAAATTGTGCAAAGCTGATTAAAAAAACCTGATCCTCATTAACACATAAGGCCCCTTTATGCTTCTCTAATGGTGTAACGGGACATTACTTAAAATGAGGATCAGGTTCAAATATTAGTAAAACATGGTCATTGTCTGTGCAATGCAGCTATCAAGCGTCAGCCCGATGCAGTCTAAACTGTCAGTTATAAAACTAGCAAATCAGTTGTATAATAGTGTTAACATGCTTTTTATGGTCACATCTGGAGTGTGACCCTATAAAAATAAACATCCAGACATAGAGAGTGCTGAGTAGCCTGTGGTGAGCAGTTCTTGCACTTTCTCTTTGTAGCTGGGTGTGACAGATGGTGATGGGACCCCAACTTGATCTCAGTTTCTCTTCTTGTGAATAGGATCAGGAGTGGGACATGGAGTCCCAGCAATGGACACCTTTCCAGCCCTCTACTGTTCCTCAACAACCTTCTGCGAAAGAGACAAAGCCGAACTCTGCAGAGATTTCGCTGTGGACTGTTCTAGCTGCAATTCAAGCAGTGGAGAAGAAGGTTGATTCTCATGCCACGCGGTTACTGAACCTGGAGCGTAGAACAGTGACAACAGAAAAGAAATATTTTGACTGTGAGAAAACAGTAGTGGATTTTGGGAACCAAATGGAGAGTAAGTGGGCGGCGCTGGGAACTCTGATCCAGGAGTACGGGCTGCTGCAGAGGAGGCTGGAGAACATGGAGAACCTGCTGAAGAACAGGAACTTCTGGATCCTGAGACTCCCCCCAGGCACTAAGGGGGAAATCCCCAAGGTAATGATGTAGCTAATAATATTCAAGAACTGTAGTAAAACAGTTTTCATTATATCTCTGATGATTACCGCCCTGACTCTAACATTCCCAAACGCCTTTATGCCTGAAATTTTGTATACGTGGCCTGTTGGCAGCGGAGGGATTTTCTGGGAAAGTCTCGTGTTAAATGGGCCCATTATTTTTGAGAGAGAAACATTTTCAAAGGGTTTCACTCTTCAAAGAGTCTTTATTTTTGTAAGTTGACTTCTCACACAACTTGGTGTAGAAACTCCATATCTGTTCGTTTTCCTCTGTGAGATCTAGTGCAATATGTTATATAATGGTAGAAACTTGAGTGAATCTGAAAGCACCATGTTGTGTCTGTGGACTTTATAAGCTTTTTGATCTTGCCACGTTTATAAACTCTACAGCAGTAGCCAGTGGAATTTGTAAATTCTACAAACCAAATACATTTGAGGTAAGTTGGTTAGAGCTCTGCAAGTATGGCCTGAACCATCTGTGCAGTCTATAGGCCAAATAGTTTGCTTCAAGGAATTTGGAAGCTTTATTCAATTTATAAATTGTTATTGAGGTTTGTGCTGTTTATTTTAACTCACTCGTAGGTAGCAACAGAGAGTCCTGTGGCACCTTTAAGACTAACAGATGTATTGGAGCATAAGCTTTCGTGGGTGAATGCCCACTTCGTCGGACACATGCGTCTGACGAAGTGGGTATTCACCCATGAAAGCTTATGCTCCAATACATCTGTTGGTCTTAAAGGTGCCACAGGACCCTCTGTTGCTTTTTACAGATCTAGACTAACACGGCTACCCCTCTGATACTTCACTCATAGGTGTCAGCCTCTCTCCCCTTCTCATCAGATATTGAACAGGGCTCTGCAGGGGTAACTCGGATTATTGCCTTTTCATTACTCTTTACAAAATCTTGACTGCTGTGAAGTGTCATAAATAAAACGAAATCCATCAGCTAAATGAACGTTGTATTGTATCTGATCACAAAGGAGCAGATGCACAAACCGTTACTCGCTCTGAGCAGTATCTTCATCCACCACTAGTCCCACGGAAGTCACTGGAACTACTCTTGAAGTAAGGGCTTGTCGGCTTGGGGAAGTTACTGCAAAATAGTTGTGGTGTGTATTTATTTGGCGCATGCAATCTGGTCAAGCCAAGCTACAGCGTTCTTATCAATGATGTTCAAGGCATGAAAACCGCCAGGAAGTTGAGTCATTTTGCTGTCCTCAACAATGTGTGTCATGGTTTGTGGCTGCCCACACCAACCTAATGGACTGTCTCTAAAATGCCACCGAAATTCCGCTGCAGCACAAATTTCATGTCCAGTATGAAGCCGGTTCAGAAGGCTCCATTGCCTTCAGAGTAAATCAAGCCTGGGTTGATGTTGAGTGGGGTCCGAGACAAGATAATTATTTGTCACTTTCTCTGCGGATCATGAAGCTCGCCACACATCCTCTACCATAAATCCCTCACCTGGTAAACTTATCCACAAAGGGCGCCGTGAGGGCAGACGACCATGTGGTGGATTAAACAAGGCTTTAATTAATGGTAGATGTGGCATATCACGTAGTTTCATCACGAGCTTTGCTACCCTTTCCTCTCTGCGAACATTGGGTGGAGCAATATTGCAGAGATCCAGTAACCATGGTAGAGGAGTAGATTTAAGCGTGCTTGAAATAATACGCATGGCAGAATTACGTTGTACGTCGATCACCTTTGTGTGAGATGAGCGAGCCCAGGCTGGAGTGCAGCACTCCACTGCTGAGTCACAGAGTGCCAAGGCTGAAGTGTGTAACAGTTGGGCCTTGGTGCCCCATGGCGTCCCGGCCAGTTTTCCGAGCAGGTTGTTGTGTGTTTTGACCTTACTTGCTGTCTTTGTCAGATGGTCACAAAATGTGAGAGTTCTCTCCAACATGACACCTAGAAAGACCGGGTGTGAATCGTGCTTTATTCGCGGACCATTGAGAACTACGTTCAGCTCTCTGCCCGTTTGTGCATGACGGAAGTGGAAGGCGCTCGCCACAGTCTTACTTCTACTTGGTATCAGGCGTCTCCGACGACAATATTCGGCCATATGGTGTGTCTAAAAAGCAGAGTACCCCCATGTGGACGCTCTTACTCGGCACTAAGACTGCCTTCTTGCTGTTTAGGTTAATCCACTTCCAAAATGGATTAACCTACACTACACAAAGGCACTCTTAGTGTGGAATAGCTGTTCTGCACTAGCTCTTCTGAAATTCTTCCCCATGTAGACACGCTCTAAGATACTGCTCTGTGGGAATGAGGGTACCAGTGCTTTGGCATTCACAGTGGGCTTCCCAGTAAGTAACACAAATGATGCTCCTCTAGAGAGTGTGGTCATTCCTCTCCCTTTTGTTCCTCTCCTCATGTTTGTGTCTGAATTCTGGGCATTCGGAGGGGAAGCATTGTGGGTTTCTGTACAGTACCTGGAACTCTTATGGAAGCTGTAAAAATAAATTATAATAATGAGAAATGTTCTTGTGTGTCGTCGTCCCCACCCCCGACTCTTAAAGGCTACAGAAGATGAAAGAGGCAGTTGACTTTATGGCACTGGGGTGCCATACAAGGTGCTGAATGAATCTGTAACCTCTGTGATTACAGGTCCCGGTGGCATTTGAAAACGACTCTGTTTACTTCTCTGAGCAAGAATGGCAGAACTTAGACGAATGGCAGAAAGAGCTTTACAAGAACGTGATGAAGGGGAACTATGAGTCTCTGATCTCGCTGGGTAAATATTGGTTCTCACTCGTTTAGTAGATGTTCTGCAATCTCAGATATTCATGGGCCAGCTCCAGCACTGGGCTAATGGATTTGCACTTGACATAGAATCTTTGTGATGGGTCAACACATTTTTCACTGTTATTGATGCCAGTTTAGAATGAAAGGTATGCAGGGATGACCTGGTCCCTCCATCTCCAGAGCCTTCTGGTTGTGGATAATGGTTGCATTACTTGGAAGTACGCATCCAGAAACCTGCTATGTTCCATGTGTGGTGCTGATGAAAATCTCCTACTGAACAGGGTAACAGAGGAAGAACACCAGGGGCAGAGAATTGTTCGGTGGGAAATGCACAGAGGCAACATTGTAGTTAGAGGGAGGCATGACCGCATGTGCTGTTGGTGTAGTACACAAGCACCGTGGATTATGGAGGCATTGACTTGATGGCCTGTGGCTGAACTGTGTGTTGGAGACACCTGGGCTGCTGGAAACCTCACAAGCTTTGATGGGAACAGATTGGATTAAAGGCAGTGGGCAGGAGAGACAAGGGGCCAGATGGGGAAAAACTCAATAAAGGGGAGGGATCGATGGACAATCAGCTTGTGGTGGGATCTGGTGCTTGTAATCCACCCTTTAGGTCTAATGTAGGAGACTAATAAACCAAGCAGGTTCTCATTCTGGTCTCAGGAACTGTGGACACAAAATAACCATCGCTTACCCCCTAGACAGGCTCTGGCCTGGATAGGTCTCTGGCCTGACTGCAGGTTAATAACTAGGGAAGTAGCTTAATACTTAGTGCCTGAAAGATAACGCTCTCTCTCTGCATGGAGAGCTCTGAACCTCCAGCAGGCAGCCCTGCTCCTCCCTCACCAGGCATTTGTTTCTCTAGGAGTTTCGTTCCCATTACGCACCACTTCGAGCAGTGACGGGGTGCCTAAAATCTCGTACTGCTCAATGCAGCATGGAGCCAGGGAACGCTGATGTGTTTTTCATCAATAGACTATGCACTCTCCAAACCTGACCTTCTGGCGCGGATTGAACGAGGGGAAGCGCCCTGCGAGGGGGAGGAGGGAGACGTAGAGGAGAGCGAAATCCCTGCAGAGCCCAGCACAGGTAAACTCGTCATCTTTTCCTTATTTTAGTGCTTTCCGTGGCGTCCTCTCCATCGTATCTAAGCAGGAAACAAAGGTGTTTGTGAACTGCTATAGATGCAGTTTTTCAGCTCTGGCTGAGTGACTCGTTAGCAGCTACAGTGTAGAGATGTTAGAACAACATAATGGGATTTCTCTTTCCCATGCACAGAATCACTGGTGTATACACCGGACGCGACCTGCCAGAGTGAAGGCGAGGAAGAGCCGTGCATCAAGGGACAGGAGAACTCAGAGGAAAGAGAGATCCCGGCTGAACCCCCAGTCGGTGAGTGCTGTGCTGAAACAGCAGTGTCTTTGTAGCTATCTTGTCACAGAATGCGTGGAGTGAGGTAGGAGAGAGGCCCCTGCTTTAGAGAGCTGGGGAAAGCTCTTATGAAAAGGGGCAAAGGGAGCAGAAGACACGGGAAGAGAAGTCCTGTGTAAAAGCCATCCAGCTTGGAGTGAACCTGCTGGCGGTTGCAAGGGGAGGACAGAAGGATGCTGCGATGGGGGCAAAAGGGATTCACAGAAGAGAGTCAACTTGCCGCCTGTTTTCTCTTTCCATGAATAGAGTGCGCGTTTTCCGAGCCAAGCTGTGTGTCCCGGGTAAAGCGAGAGGAGGAGCTGTGTGTCGAGGAGCAGGGGCCATCGGAGGAAGTGGAAATATTCTCAGAGCCCAGCACTGGTGAGTTATCAGCAGTCTCCCAAAATGCTGTGTAGCCTGAGGTAGAGTGGAGAGCTGGCACCATACAGGGACTTCCCGGGATGGGGGGAGGTATATGTGGAGGGGGAGGAAGCGGGGTGGAGCTGGGAGTGTTCTTGCAGGCTCGTGAGGGGGACAAGGGTCCAGAGCCAGTCTGAGGACAAGGGGAGGGGGAAGGAAGGGTTTAAGGCCAGAGTTGAGTACAGAATTTCCCCCTAACGGAGGGAAAGTACCAGAAACATGTGGCAGCTTAAGCAATGGAGTAACCCACCCCCAAAATAAAACAGACACATGGCTCCTGGTCTCCCTCTCTCCCTCCTGATGCTATGGCAGTGACCACCTTGTGGGGGAGACAGAAGACGACCAGGGAGGGTCCCGAAGATGAAATAAGACAAGGCGAGTACCTTGGCTGGGAGGGACAGCTCCCTGATCACTTTGTGGGGATGCCGGGCCCCATGGTCAGCTCCTAGCTGACGGTTCCGTCCTGGGGCTGCCAACCAGGAGTATGGCCCATTCAGTCTGTCGGGCCACCAGTGAGGAGCCTGCCCCCTGCATGGGGTCTCATAAGCCCTGCCCATGCTCACTGCCTCCCTGCTATCATCCCCAGGCACCCAGATGGGGCGGAGTTGCTGACTCCAGCCCTGAGGCGGGGTTGGGGAATCACAAAGGTGTGGTTGGGGCTCAGGTGCTCTGGACAGCTCCAGAAGGCTCCGAACTCCAGATGCCAGGCCTGAGGACTGGGCCATTAAAACTTTCGGTCTTTGCTCATAAATCAGCCCCGACAGACCGGATAGCTTTGGTTACTCTTCCCATAATTCCTCCCCCCTGCTCTCTAATGCTGGCACCGATGCATTTAGAAATGAAAGCTGGATTCCAGGTACAGTCTAGGGTTGTCAGGCGTCCGGTTTTCGACCGGAACGCCCGGTTGAAAAGGGTTCCTGGCAGCTCCAGGCAGCACCGCTGATCGGGCCGTTAAAAGTCCGTCTGGCAGCGCAGCAGGGCTAAGGCAGGCCCCCTGTGCCTGGCTCCGCACAGCTCCCGGAAGCGGCCGCCATGTCCCTGCGGCCCTTAGGCGGAGGGGGCAATCAGGGAAGCTCTGTGCGCTGTCCCCGCCCCCAGCACCAGCTGCGCAGCTCTCATTGGCCGTGAACCACGGCCAATGGGAGCTGTGGGGACAGTGCTTGCGGGCGCGGGAGGTGTGCAGAGCCCCCCTGGTTCCTCCACCTAGGGGGCCGGACATGCTGGTCGCTTCCGGGAACTGAGCAGAGCTAGGGCAGGCCGGGAGCCTGCCTTAGCCCTGCTGCGCTGCCAACCGGACTTTTAACGGCCCGATCAGCGGTGCTGCCTGGAGCTGCCAGGAACCCTTTTCAACCGGGCGTTCCGGTCGAAAACCGGACGCCTGACAACCCTAGACTGTATCTGGAATCCACCTTTCATTTCTAAACACATCGGTGCCAGCATTAGTGAGCAGGTGGGAG